TGCCTTAGCCTTCCCCTTCCCAGAATTCTCTCTCCTTGTCCCGCCTATACTTCCTTCCTGGCTACTGGCCAATCAGTGTTTTATTTGTTAACCATTCAGAGCAACAGATTTAACATACAGAACATCCCACAGCAATTAGGTTTCTAGCTCATCCCAGGGATGCCCCTTATTCCATTTTTCTCTCCCAGTACTCTCTTCCTTCATCTTTCCCCAACCTGATCCCTCCTGTTCCCATGCATGTACTCCCATCCAGACCATGCCCCCCATTCACCTGTGATAGCTATTCTAATTCCCCTTCACAGTGAGAGCCAAATCCCCCCTCCCCCCCCCTCCCGTCTTGAGCCTTTTTTGTTACTTGGTTTCTTTGGATCTGTGGTTTGTAGCATGGTTATCCATTACTTTATGATTAATACTCACTTATAAGTGAGTACATACCCTATTTGTCTTTCTTGGTCTGGCTTACCTCACTCAGGATGACCTTTTCTAGCTCCATCAATTTGCTGGCTAATATCATGTTGTAATTTTTTAACAGCTGAGTGATACTCTATTGTGTAAATGCACCACATTTTCTTTATCCATTTTTTTTTTTTTATAGAAGGGCATCTAGGGAATAACCGACCAATGACTGGTACAGCTTGAAACCCATATCATGATAGGGAAACTACCCCTGATACTTTCTGGAAGTCCCATACCGGGGGAGCTAGACAATCCAGAGACTTAGGTTATAACCAAAGAGTGGGCAGAACTTAGGAAATCCTGTGGAAGTGGGGAGAAAGGATTGAGGGAGCCATTGGGGTCAAGGACACCACAAAATAACCCTACAAAACTAACTGACTGGATACATAGGGACTCACAGAGACTGGACTGCCAACTAGAACCCTTGTATGGAACTGACCTAGGCCCTCTGCACATATGTTACTGTTGTCTAGCTTAGTTCCTTGTGGGACTCCTAACAGTGGGAGCAGGGGATGTTTCTGACTGTTACTTGCTTGTGGGACCCTTTTCTCCTGCTGGGACTTCTTTTTCCTCTTAACAGGAGAGAAGGTTCCTAGTCTCACTTCAACTTGATAGTCCATGTCTGTCTGATATACATGGAAGACCTCCCTTTTTCTGAAGATAAAAGAGGAAGAGTAGGTGGGGGAATAGGAATAGGCATAGGGAGGTTGGGGAGAGAGGACTTAGAGGAAAGGAGGGAGGAAGGGAGATTGTAATTGGACTGGGAAAAAGTAACTAATTAATGAATTAACTAATTAAAAAGTAAAAAGAAAAGATCTTATCAATAGCTGGTTCCTAACCACAAACTCGGTGTTTCTGCCTCAGCTTCCTGCGTACTGTGATCACAGGCATGCACCACAGAGCATACATACCTTACATTTCATCCTTAAGAATTTTCCTTAAGAAAAATAGATCCAAATACTTCTGTATTAATTTGTCACGTTGGGAACAGGCTGTTTGACACCATTATGTTGAAAATACACTTTGGTGAATGACAAGACCACAGCATCTGTTTATTTGAAACATCTGTAGACATTTCTACATAGTTTTATGCAGAGAATATTCATTGTTAACCTAGTGTTAATACTGTCTTTTCTTTTGCTCTTAGATGAGCTAAGATTTAAACCTGGTCTTACAAATGCTTCAGTTTGAAAATCAGTCCCCTAGCCTGTACATCCATTGGTGTAGAGTATCCTTTCTCTCAAATGATCTGGAAGTTTGGAGTATTTTTTCCACTGAAAACAAGGTTCTCTTCATCATTTTTTTTCTGGTATCTCTGTCTTATTTCTAATGTAGTGACATGAAACCTTTATGTGGGCTTGGATGATCTTTCTGTTTCCTACCAATTTAATTTCTTTATTATCAGTGCTTTTAAAACATTATTTGCAGGTTTTTAGCTTGGTTAGGTAATTTATCTTTCAGCGATTTCTGTTTTTTATGCATGCCTATTCCAATCACAGTGTTATTTCTTTAATGATGCTGTTTGGTTTATAATCTGTACCTTACTTTTATATCTAGCAAATTCACCTGGGTCTACTGTCCATGTATTTCCATCTTTACAGTGTTATTTTTTGAAACATTTCTATTTATATATGTGTAAAACTTTGGAACATTTGATGGTTTTCCTGAAGCATGTTGCTCTAGATTGGGCAATTTCTGTGTACTGACAGCATGTTATGTTTATTGTTATCATTTTTCCTGTGTATTTGTGCACACCTGTGATCCCAGTATGTGGGAAGCTGAGGCAGAAACACTGAGTTTGTTGTTAAGCCAAGGTATTGATAAGATCTTTTCTTTTTAATTTTAATTAGTTAATTCATTAATTAGTTACTTTTTCCCAGTCAAATTACAGTCCCTATTGATTTTTCCCAGCCCATCGTTCTCATATTGTTCATGCTTGCAGTCTTTATAAAATATACTTCCCCATCACTTAACAGGAAGCACATTTCTCAATTTCTTAACTATCTTATCTGAGACCTGCCTGATTTATTCCTTGTGACAACTGTTTAGAGTTGGGATATGTTGTGAAAACTCATATTTTTGTAATCTTGGAGAATCATGGATCATGGAGTTGGATGAAACTTAGTCTTTTTTGTTTGTTTGTTTGTTTGTTTTGTTTTGTTGTACAAATTGCTAAGATTTTTTAGCTAAGATGACCTGCATTAAGATTAGCCTTGGAAAAAAACACAAATATACATCACTGGGAGAGTTTACACTTTCCTACTGGGCCCTGCCGATGTGGCAGAAGTGTTTAGGCCTGAGTCTGAAAAAAAAAAATATGGAGTCAGCTTCATAATCTGCTAGCCACCCATTTCAAAAATGTTGTGTAAAAAGAGGTTTGTTACAGGAATTTACAATCCATGTGCATCAGATCTGGTTACCTCCAAATTTGAATATTGTAAAAAGTTTCTCGTGATATTATTTCATTGGTAAATCTCATGATTGGGGGCAAGATTAAGCATTGGAGAACTTTCAATTTTGTGACCACAGCTATATTGTCTTATTTAGCAAGGTTTCTTAGTGTTGTTGTTATTATTATTATCTGTGAATTTTTGTTATTGTTGTTGTTTTATTCTGTATGTTTGATGCTGTTTGCATTTTGTCATGTCCTGCCTAAGGTCTAAGAGTATAAGACCTTCAGTCCCTTCTTTCTAAATTAGCATTTGCAACAGTCTTGGTATATAATATCTATATTGTATCTCTCTGACATTATTAGGCAATTTATCCAGCATTGTATAATTGATAACTGACTGTTCAAATTGAAGCTTATAATTGTCTATACTACTATGCCAAAGCTGAACATACTGAAATTAAAGCTTAAATCTCTATTGAAAAATTATTTTACTTTGGTGGAAATATTTTAGATGTTTTATGGAAGAATAATAGGTAGGTGGATCATAAAGAAAGAATATGAATATTTTTATTTATTTTATGAAGATTTTTATATCTTCTCTTAAAGTAGATAGAGATTTGCAAAATAGATCCAACTTTCTAGACTTCAATTTCTTCATATAAAAATAATAATAATGGCAACAGTGATGATGTTGGTGGCGGTAAATAATACCATAGGTCCTTGACTCTCCATTTGCTTGTAACCAGCAAGATATGACACAATTTATAAGAAGAATCACATTAAATTTCAAGATAATCACAACTAACCAAATCACGGATGTTGCTCATACCTGCTAAGGCTGTTGTGATTCTAGGTTGTGTGCTTTTACACACTGGTTCTGCTGTCTTTCCACATTGAGAAGTTTGCCTTAAATGGTAAGATTTTGATTCTCTGGCACTACATGTATGGACTGAGCATCCTATAAATAAGTCCTAATGCTAAGTTTATGCTTCATAGTGTGTATTTTCATATAAAAACAAATGCAGTCTTCTACCCTGTACATCAGTTCTTCTGCCTTTCCTCCTTGACTTTCCCACACAATATTTCTGTCCATTGCACTGATTTAGTGCTGAATAAGGAAAACACCCAGCCACATTAAATGTGAGAGCAAGGATTCTAGAAGCCCGGTACCACCAGATGCTGTAGCCCCTGAGGGGTAATAAATGGACTGATGCAGGGAAGAATAAGGGCAGCAGTGGGCTAGAATGAGATGCACTGGACTGACTGATACTGATTACATGGAGAAAGAAAAGACAACAATTGAATAAATTCAGATTCTCAACTTTGATTTAAAAAGGTTTTACTTGAAAAAAAATGCTTAAATGGAGTAAAGGATTAGATGAGTAAGTCATGTTAATTACTTAATTCTGTTGTTTTTATTGTGATGGTATAGAGTGTTCTTTGTTTACAGGAAGTAAAAACTACTAAATTTGCCACGAAAAGGGCTCAGTTCACAAAATTAATCTGCACAGTTCAGAAAGCTATCATTTAAAAAAGACATTATTGCATTCATTTTTAATGATTATACATGTTGGAGTACAAAGGGCAGAGGACAACTTTCAGGAGTTTGTTCCTGCTTCCCTTCTTGACAAGGCAGTCTATTGTTGTTTCTCGTGCTGCGGCTGCACAAGCTGGTCGAGCTTGTATTGCATTTGACTTTCACATGGGTTCTGGGACTCACACTTGGATCATCAACCTTGTGAAGTTTATATATTTACTTGCTGAGCTATCTCATAAGGACAGAAAAAAATCAATATTCTTATCATTCTTGAAGAATTTTCTCTATGGTCCAGCTTGTAACATAACATTTTCTTTTCTTTTCTTTTCTTTTTTTTCTTTTCTTTCTTTCTTTTTTTTTTTTGTGGTTTTTCAAGACAGGGTTTCTCTGTGTAGCTTTGTGCCTTTTCTGGATCTCGCTCCGTAGACTAGGCTGGCCTTGAACTCACAGAGATCTGCCTGGCTCTGCCTCCTGAGTGGTGGGATTAAAGGTGTGCGCCACCACCGCCTGGCCTTAACATAACATTTTCTAATGTGTACAGAGATGAGATTTAATATAGGTATGCTGTCAACCAGAGGCTAATATCTCAGTGGATATTCTCTTTTCTATCTCCAGGTGGGGGTCGTTTCAGCCGTCCAGTTTTTATCCAGGAGCCACAAGATGTCATTTTTCCTTTGGATTTATCCAGATCTGAAATCATTCTGACTTGTACTGCAAATGGTTACCCTTCACCCCACTACAGGTAAAACTCTACTTCTTGGTACCACTGTTGTCCTCTTTGTGGTTGCTGTAAAAGTGACACACAATAAGGATTCTCAGAAACATGTTACATATTCAGAGTAGACCTCAAGGTGTTTTCCCACTGCTATTCAGCTTTGTCTACACAAATCATATAAGCATATATACACATTCCGAACGCGGGTGCATTCCTTCATGCTGAATTCCAGGTAAACACTACTATATATCTGTTGCTTATTCCTTGAGATTAATGGAAAGCAGAGTCGTATGTACTTAGAACTGAGAAAGAAAGCAAAGACAACATAGAAATAAAAGAAGGAAGAAGCACAGGAAGGTAGAAATTGTCAAGAGAAAGAACGATTTTGCTTCACAACTCGAAAAAGTTCTAGCTTATTTTGCATTCATCATACATCTACTTCAGTTTAAGGGTGCTGCCTCAGTTTCCCATTATACAATAGGTATGAAAATACCCTTCTGTAAACAAATAATCAAAGAAAAATCTTCAACTTATTTCATGAGATCAAATTCTGAAACTTTCCCACAGCTCCCATTGTGCCAAAAAATATTAATTGTAGAAAAACTCTGTTGAAAGCAATTTTGTGCATTCTAAGGCCAAGAGAGGATTTTTATTACAGGGAAAACATGTTTGTTGCTCATACAGAATATTATTTTCAAAGCATTCATTAGTATGTTATTTCAAATTATTCTGGCTTTTCTCATATTTGTCTACCTAAAGAGAACATATGAGAAGTATGTGGAGTCTTCCCTGGGATCTTTGTAACACACACTATAGTGGCTTAAATTAAACTTTTAACAAAAGCATTCAAAAATAGTTTTCTACTCAGATATCCTTCAGTTTTCCAATCACTACAAAGAAATAAAATAAAGGGCAGCTTGAGAGGAAGGATGGATATATTTTTTGTCTTACTTAAACAGTTGCAGTGTGGGTAGAACTCAAAAATCTATAAATGTATGTATATAAATTGTATTTTTAAATGAAATGTTTTGTTGGTAAGAGCTATTGCAATGTGAATAGAAGAAGAAAACTAATAAACATCAGAGTGACAGTTGGTCAGTTGGTGATTTGAATTTTAAAAGCATTTTCACAAAGTTTTAATTTTTAGACATGAAATTGAATTGACATACAGAAAAAGCAACAATTAAGTCAATTTTAGCAAACTGGGTTGGCTTTGTACACTGTAATAAAATACAGCCTCCATCTATATATGATTACTAGAGGAATGGGTCACATATTTAAATTGACAAAGCCAAAGCCATCTGTATATTATCTCTTATTTAGCTTATATTTTGTAGAATAAATTCCTTATCTTATATCCATAACTAAAGAGTTTAAAAGCTAAATCTTTTTCTTAATAAATTCTTAACCCAATTCAAGTCAATTGATTGAGAAAGACCAATCACTTTACTAATTGTTTTACTCAAATTGGGTTTTTTTTTATTATTTATTTTTCTGCTAAAAGAAAAGCAAAATTGTTTTAAGGCTGGTGAGATGGCTCAGGCCTGGAGAGTATTTGCTGCTCTGGTAAAGGACCAGGGTTTGATATGCAGCATCCACACAGTGCTCACAACAGTCTCTAACTCCAGTTTCAAGAGATCTAACACTATTTCTGGCTTCTGCTCACACTGCAAGTACAGGGTTTGCAGACATACATGTAGGACAACCACCCTTACACATAAAGTAGAAAATTTTAGAAAAGGATATTACTTCATTTAACCTTAAATTAACTTAATTTAAAATGAACTATATGAAATATGATTAATACATACTTTTAAGATCACCATATTTGAAATTATAGTTCTGGCATTTAAAAGCTAATTCAGTTGATCAAATATATAGGTAAGATTTCTTGGAGGGAGGGTATCCAAATGCCTATATGCTTTTAAATTTGTTAAATACAACCTAAGTAAAGTGAATTTAAAATGTTTATATTTTTTCAGTAAGTATAAAGTATAAGCTACTTTGTTATAAAGACAGTTTTTTTGTTAGTGCAACAATGAAGACATAAATAAAGAATATAGGTAGGAATTCTAATAGTGCTAAATAACTTCCTCAGATATTTGTAAACTAGAAAACTAAAAACAAACATTTTAGCTTCTTATTACTAATCTTTATACAGTGCTTAAACATATTCCTCTATTTACACGATAAGAAACTCATAGGCAAGAGACATTGGAATGGGAAAAAAAATTAAATTTTAATGCCTAAATATCAGACTCAGATCCAATTTCCTTGATAATATAGCACATTATATTCTAGCAGTGCAATGTAAAATTTTAGTATCCATGTTGCCATTTCTGCTTACATTTTTTTTTTTACAATTTACTAATCACCATATTAAACATACGTTATTTGGTAGAGTGTACACTGGAGAAAATGTCTTTATTATTGCAGAGTCCAAGGTTATACAGGGATTTTTAAGCAAAATGAGAAACAGTACATTAGAGCCTCCCACTTAAAAGTAAGAATTATTTTTTGTAATGGCAATTCTGTACTACAAATAACTCTAGGAGGATCAATTTCCTTTTTAGTAACTACTACTTCCTCCTGGAGTGACAGTGGCCTTTCCTGTATAGTATTTTTTTTTAACAGAAAGAAAACTTCAGGGGAATATGTTGCTTTAAAATATTTTGTTTTGTTGTTCTAATCAGGATCATAGCACCAAATTTATTCTATTTTTTTTCTTTTTTTCCCCAAATGTATTGTTATTGTTAGACATCACACACAAAGACATGCATGGATATGCACATTACCAAAGGACAGCAAATAGAACTTCCAGTCATATTGTCCAGTCACATCTCAACTACTTAATTGTGAAAGATAGTCCTTAGTAAAAGGATCATATTCTAGTTCAAATTCATCACATCTCCTAGAACTAATGTGTTAGTTCATATGCATAAAACATTCATTCAACACACATTTTCTAGTTTGTATCATAAGAAAATTTGCTTGGATATGTAATAATGCTATCAGTAAAGTATGTCTGACAGTCACTTTAATGAAGTAAAACTATTTCTCCATTTATTTAAGCATATTAATTAGGACAAAGCCCAAACCCAGAGCTGAACTCCTGATCTATATGCACAGTTTAATAATCATTGTACCATAGTGATTAGAATGATTATGGGGCTACTGTGAAAAATTCATTTGCTGCAGCTAAGCCAACAACTTTGAATTTGTGTTGAAAAACAATTACTGCGCTTAATTAGGAGCATGTAATGATGACAGCAGTTATTTCAGTGATTGATTCCAAAATTAAAGAGAGCTGGCAAACTAAGTGTGGTATACCATTCCCTTTGAAAATGATAGAGAACACGGAGGTATGAGACCATGCCCTGTAAGTGAATTATGAAAGACAGGTTTACAGTGAGAGCAAGGGGAATATTGGCAACTTGAGACAGGCCAGCGGGAACAAGTTTTCTGCTTTTTGTGTCCTAGGAGCACAGACAAAAAACAATATATAATAATTTCTATTGAAAATGTGGTGGGAAACCCAAGCTGTATAGATGAACTCTTGATGGCTGTTGTTCATCTTCATTTTATTAAAAAGAAGTTGACATATACAGGAGGTGGGCAAATCATTTTAAAGTTGACAGGATTGGTTCAAATCCTCTGATTGATTTGATATTTGTATTGGTGAAATTATTAAGGCCACTCCACACAGTTAAAAGGGAGATTTATTTAGTGGCATAACTTACAAATGAAGGGATAGGTAGGTTGCAGGGTCTGGGAAAGATGCAGCACAGTCCGGTGGTGTTCTCTGGAGAACTCTGCTCTGTCTACCTCCAGTGTCCAGGGTCCAGGAAACAAGAGAGCGCAGCACATCCAGATCTCAGGTCTTCAAGCCCTCTCTTGGCCCCACCTTGTAGGCATGACAGTTACCAAAGCCTCAATGGGGGTTGGAACTTCCAGACCAAAGCTGGAATGGCTACCCACTACAATTTGAGCCATCATTTTATATCTTTAATAGTATGAAGGAGTATCCAATTATGTATTTCTTTTCTATTTTAGTAGACATTAGTCAGATTTTCTCCAGTGAATCTGTCACAATGTTGTCCCCCAAAAATCCAAAATCAATGGCATTCAAAATAACTTTGGAGAATGCCATTCCTTTCTCACAATTACCCACCCTAACAAAATATTTTAAATAATTTCGCTATGAATAGAAGAATCACAGCAAGGCAGGAATATGCCCTAAAATATGGTTTGAAAATTGTATATATTATGTAGGGAGAGGCCATTTACTGGTAGTCTCAGGACAAATTACCCTAAAGCGGTAGTTCTCAACCTGTGGGGCACAACCCATTTTGGAAGGACCCTTTCACGATGGGTAATGGGGCTGACTATCAGAAAACATATTTTTACAATATGATTTATAATAGTAGAGTTATAAAATTAGAGTTATGAAGTAGCACAAAAATAATTTCATGATTGGGGGTCACCACAACATGAGGAACTGTATTAAAGGGTAGCTGCATTAGGAAGTTTGAGGACCACTGCCCTAAAGCCTGGAGACAATAGCAGAAGGTCTTTCACATCTCCCCCCCACACACACACCCTTCTATTTTTAAGCTAAAGATATAGTTTTCATTTCAGAGGTCACTTCCCAAAGACTCTAAGCAAAGAACCTCCTTTTTCCTTGAGAACCACAATCATCAATGAAAACATGCACAGTCAGTCCCTGTGAGTTTTCACTAACTGTGAACATCAGCTCTTACTTGCTGTCCTTTATATCCCGACAATAGGACACTCTTCATGAATTCTAGCACTAAATATACAGATCTGTCTGTAATTGGGGGTGTTGTTTCTGAAAACCCTAATGTCATGAAAAAGCTATACTGAAAGACTGCATATGTGCTAATACACAATTTTAGACCCTCAACCATGACCCTGACAATGAATGAAGAGTGGTTTTTCTTTTTTTTCTCTGTATTTCTTCCACCTCTACAAGTATGAGTTATAATTCATTAATTTTAAATGCCTATTTCCATAAATGCTTTATATGACTACATATAACTTATAACTTTGATATATACCTCATTAATGTGCAATGTTTATAATTTAAAATATGAAGTTGGGAGGTTTCCAATTTGAGAAGTGAATCTAATAAGAGGAGGTGAGTGCATATTTACTGATCTTGAAATGGCCACACCGAGTCTTCTAAAGCTCTTTCTGCTTCCTTTCAAACAGTGCTAATGCCCTTTTATAGGTAGATAATTCTTGCACGGAAGGACTGTTGACTAATAGCTAAGCTGAGAGATTTTTGGCTTCTGGAAAAAAAAAAACCTACTCAAGCTGTATTTGTTTTGTTAGCATATAATTTTAGGTTGGTTTTCCTAAGTGCCATTGAAATATTTTCAATGTGATTAATTTTCCAAGTAGCAGACTCACAAAGACAATCACATTTTGACACTGTCGGGTTATTATTGTTGTGTTATCAGCCTTGAATGGGTATTGTCAGACCCTTGCTGGCATTCTTTGTCCTGGTTGTAATGTAACCTTCTTGGGTTTCTGTCTCTAAATCATTTCTGACATTCTGTTTTGTAGTGTCAATTGTGGGGATTCGGGTATAGTATACATTATTTGAAAAGTCTCTAAAGAAATAGATGTCAGAATTGTTGACTGATGTCTAATTTTTATTTCTCATTTTAAGAGTTCTGATTCCTTTCTGGTTTCATGTAAGTGAGTCTTTGTAACTTAGGAAGGGTAAAGAGCTTCCAAACAACCTATCAGTTTGTAGCCCTGGCCCCAGAACAGTTGTGTTTGCCAAGTGGTAGCATAGCCCTCTAGGCTCAGCTTGTGGTTGAGTAATACAAGAGGATGGCAAGTTCCAAGCCAGGAAGGGCTTCAGAGTTTGTTTGGTGTCAGCTGGGGCAACTTGGTGAGAATGTGTCTGAGGATTAAAAAAAAATTAAAATGAGTATATAAATGTTGCCCAGTGGTGCAGCACATGGGTAGTGTGTGAGGTCGGTGCCCGTTCAAACTCCAGTACTACAAACAAAAACAGAACACTGTTCCCTTTAATAAAACTACAGAGATCACCCCACAGGTGATCATGTATTTTTGTTTATTTTTATGCCTATAAGAATTCAAACAGTGTGATTTTTATGATAAACAGCTTTCTGTTCTTTATATTGCATATGTAATTTTGTTTCTTTTTTTATCCATGAAGGTGGAAACAAAATGGCACAGATATTGACTTCAGCATGACTTATCACTATAGGTTGGATGGAGGCAGTTTGGCCATCAGCAGCCCCCGCACAGATCAAGATATTGGCACCTACCAGTGTCTGGCCACCAATCCTGTGGGCACCATTCTGAGTAGGAAAGCAAAACTCCAGTTTGCATGTAAGTTTGTGGGAAAATTCCATACTGAATATGTCCTGGAAAAGAGTCTGGTGATGTATCTATATTGGGCCAAAAGGTAGTTTTTTTCAATTACCTGCTCTTTGAAATCAAATGGAATTTTATGTGCATAAAAAGTTTTGCTCGTGCATTTTGTAATTCCTGAGGATAATGGAAATCTGTTACTTTTTTAGGTAGAAAATATTTTTGAAATTATATATTGTGAAATATTCTTAGAAACATCTCTAAAAGCGCCACATATCAATATTAAGATCATACATATAATATCACTGCCCTTTCATTTTTTTCTTTTAAGTAAGGTATTAGTGTGAATAGCACAGGAAAGAAACCTCAAGGCAGTGGTATCATGTGGGGCAGGCGGGTGTTTCTCTAGGAACAGTGATCATACACCCACAGTGAGATGTAGGTGGAAATAAAGTGGTTGCCACAGGCAGGCTTTATATTAACTGTAACAATGTCCAGCTGCATCACATAAATGTCATCCAAGTAATTACCTTTGTGACATTTGGGGACATTAGCAGATGAACAATAGACACTGCTTCTTATATCCTTTATATATAGTGTTCCCAGGGACTAAAATGCTTCATATTGGATTCAGTGAAAGCCTTGTTTGAAAGTAATTATATCTCACAATGTGGACAAAGTAGAAGGCTTGAATTTCTCCCTTGTATTATCCCCAAGCTCTAGATAAGCCAGGGAACCAGAATGTCAGTCGTTTCTGTTTGGGGGCTCATGGAAATGTCTATGCTTTCTATAACTTTCAAAAACCAAATTTAAAGATTTTGCTTAGAAATATGTGTCTCATCCCATCCTGCAAAAGTGCTTTAGTCATGTGCAGTTATGGTCTCAAGTCTGTTCTGCACCAGCAATCTCATGATCTATACAGGTTGCAGGGAGAACCAATGTTTGAGAGACAGCCTTGCTTTGGTTTTATACGTTATGTGCCTATACATATAACCAATAATCATTGGAGTTGATTTCTGCATTCTATCTTGGAGAGTTACTTGAAAATGTAGTAGAGAGGAAACTATAGACACATATCCCACAGAAATGTGCAGTTATTAGAGCCTAACGGATTTGTTTGGAAAGTGGACATCCCCAGAACACTGCAATCAAGTTACACACTGACAGATTCCAAAGGGAATTCCATACAACATAGAATATTTATTTGTAATGTTCCTGACTTTCTGTTGAGTCATCTTTCAAACATCTGGCCGTGACATAGTGGTGTAGGCTTACAATGCCATTACCTGAGTGCTGAGACTGTCTCAAAAAAAGACAAACATGTAAATTAAATAAATCCTGAATGTCTACACCCAAAAGTACCACATTGTGATTTATATAGCCGCACATTTCTTCTTGCACTCTAAAAAGTACTTTAAAATTATCTCTATGATTTTAAGTTATCTTTTTTTTTGTTTAAAGAAATACATGCAATCTAAAACTTTTCCTAACTAAAATATATTTTATCTTTGCCAAAATGGAAAGGAAAAGTTGAAGTAAAAAGAAGTTAAATTATATACTTGCATGAGTGAGATGAAACAATTCTTTGACTGTAGCTCCTCCTCATTCTTTATACTTTGGTGGCTTAAAAGTTAATGGCTTGTCACACAATCTTGAGGCTCTGAGTTCAAACCCAGGCACCCCTATAAAAAAGCTGAGTGTCATGACATAACACTGTAATTTCAGCCTTGGGAAGTAGAAACAAGATGATCTTTGAGGCTTACTGGCCTCCTCATCTAGTCTATTTGGTCTGCTCTGTGTTCCATAAGAGACCATGAGACAAAAGATAATTTGGGAAGTAAATGAGGAAGAAACCTGAAGTCAGTCTCCAGCCCTCACAAATATATGCACACACTGAAACACCATATAATCAAACACACATTTTCACTATCAATCCATGCCAAAAGTTGCTCTGCCTATATCCAGTAGTCAGCCTTTGTTCTGTAAACTTAAATGAGTGTAGACACTAAGACTGACATTTTCAGAAGAGAGAAAAAGCCCAAGTATCTGCCCTTCCTACATAATACTTATACTGATGCTGCATCTGAAAGCCTTCCTATTGTATCCAGTGAAAGAGTTTCTAGAGTATAACAAAGAAAAAGTAGTCTGGATGCATGCTGATCTGACCCAGTGGAAAGTTCCTGAATGAACTTCATGACCTGTATCTTCATTCTTGAATGCTTCACCATCTCCTTCTTAAATTAACAATGGTTGTTTGACTGAAAAGTTCGTTGGCTGAATAGCAATGTGGGTCAAATGCTGGAGCTTCAGATATAGTCATTCCCAAACTCAACTTGTATTTCTATCAAATATCCAACAGAACGCAGTTAGGTAAATTCTCACAATAACCCTCTGCTGAGAAATTTACAGATTAAAACATCTACCATTATTCGCCATAAAGACAAAGATATGGATTACCTGGGATATGAGTGTGGGGGTTTTCATTCACACAGACACTTGAGAAATTATATATCTAATTCTCAATTGTATTCTTTCTCTAACTCATCCAAACATTACCTACATATATACATATACATACACACATATACATATGCACATATGCATATACAATTACATATTTCTAATTGATATTTCACATAGAAACCTTTTCTAGTTTTTTGTTTGTTTTTTGGGGGGTAGAAAAAATATTTTTTAGGTAATTACATAGAGTTCCTTTATTTCTATTGTTCAAACTAAGAAGATAATAGCATAGCTGAAATTTTAGCAGGAGGGTTTGAGTCCAATTCACATCAAAGAAAAAAAAAGTGATTTTGAAAATTAAGAACTTAACATATTTGTTAAAATATAAGCTAGAACATAAGATTATTGGTCCAATATACTAAAGAATTTCAGACTAAGGTAACAACATGATGTGTATATCACAGAGGAAGAGGAAAGTCATGTGCTCCTTCTCAAGCCCTAAAATCTTACACAAAACAGTGACTTCAAAGTACAGCCTTTTGTGACCACACCACAGGGAGTCTTTCATCTGTGGTCCTCTTTTTTTTCTTTCTTTCTTTATTCAGAAATTTTCTACTCACTCTACATACCACCCACAGATCCCCCCTCCTCCCTCCTCCCACCTCCCAGCCCTCTCTTCCAAGCCACCCCACATCCCCATGTCTCCCAACTCAAGGTCTCCCATGGGGAGTCAGCAGATCCGGGCACACTGATCCTAGGCAGGTCCAAGCTCCTTCCCACTGCATCAAGGCTGTGCAAGGTGTCACACCACAGGCACCGGATTCTCAAAAGCTTGCCCATGCACCAGGGATGGATCCCTATCCCTCTACCTGGGGGCCCCCCAAACAGTTCGAGCTAAACAACTGTTTTCCTTATCCATAGGGCTTAGATCAGTCTCATGAGGGCTCCACAGCCACTAGTCTACAGTTCATGGGCTTCCTCTAGTGTAGCCAGTCATCTCTGTACGTCTTCTCAACATCCCCTGCCTGCAGAATCCCTCCTCTCTCTCATAGATTGGATTCCTGGAGCTCAGACTGGTGCCTGGCCGTGGATCTCTGCATCTGCCTCCATCAGTCACTGGACAAAGGCGCTATGATGACAGTTAGGGTATTCGCTAGACCAGTCACCAGAGTAGACCTGACCAGGCATCCTCTGGACCACTGCCAGTAGTCCAAGGTGGGGTCATCCTTGTGGATTCCTGAGAGCCTCCCCAGAACCCCGACTCTTCCTATTCCCATGATGTCCTCATCTATCATGGTATCTCCCTCCCTGTCCTCCCACTCTGTCCCTGTTCCAGCTCAACACTCCCATTACTCCCATTTCCCTATGTTCTCATCCCCCACACTTTGCCCTCCACTACCCCCACTCCCACTCAATCTGCTCATGTAGATCTCATCCACTTCTCCTTCACTGGATCATTCATGTGTTCCTCCTAGGGTCTTTCCCTGTTAGCTAGCCTCTCTGGAATTGTGGGTCCAAGCCCTTCCCTCACATCTAGTATCCACTTATGAGTGAGTACATTCTATATTTGTCCTTCTGAGTCTGGGTTACCTCACTCAGGATGATATTTTTCTAGTTCCATCCATTTGCTGCCAAGTTTCATGATATCATTGTTCTTTACTGCTGAGTAGTACTCTACTGTGTATATGTGCCACATTTTCTTTATCTATTATTCAGTTGAGGGACATCTAGGTTGTTTCCAGGTTCTTGCTATTACGAATAGTGCTGATATGAACATAGTTGAGCATGTGTCCTTGTGGTAAGGTTGAACATTCCTTGGGTATTCCTTGCTCTTCCAGTTTATATCTAAAGTTTCTTCTTATATTTCAAATGTATTTAGTGTTTTTATTTGCATGCATCAATTAAATAAAATAATGGTTTATAATTTGATATATATATATATATATATATATAATGCATTTTGAACACATTTATTTCTCCATTCCTCTATTTTATCCTCCTATATTCCTGTTACTCCCCTTTCAGTTCCAACTAGTCCCCCATATGTTTTAATATCATTGTTTATAACATAATGAGTTTCATTAGATTGCTTACATAAGCATAAATGATGGCTTATTTATAAAGTATGGGCAACTTACCAGTAGCTGTGCAGCTGAGGCAAATGGCCCTCCTTCTTTATCAACCACCGATTGCCTATTAAGCTACAGGGAACAGTGGGTCTGTGAAGTGACCAGTATTGTCAAAGTCTTGCTTAGGAAATCCTAGCTAATAAGATTTCAAGAGTTCAGAAGCCACAGGTTCCAGAATTCAACAGCCAGAAGACAGTATTGCACAATTCTCCACCTCTTCCCCTGGCTCTTACATTCTGTGACCTCTTTTCTGTCATGTTCCCTGAGCCTTGAAGGACATGTGATACAAGGTGTCTCATGCATGGCTGCAAATTCAACAGTCACTTAATTCTCAATACTTTTACTAGTAGTTATAAGTCTTTACACTGACCACTGTCCAATGCAAAAAGTTTATCCAAAAAAAACCAGCAGAGGCACCTATCTAGGGAT